AAGATTGAGGTTATGCACATCTTACATCCTCCTGTGATAAAGGTGAAAGGCGATTTAACAATGTTTTCACGTGTTTTCCGTGTGTTATTCGTAGACATGCTAGTTTAAATTGTTACTGCCGTATAATTGAAATGTTTGTCAAATTTAGCTTCTTATCGATGTTACGGTGAGTTGATCGCCATCTTGTTTGTTTATTTACGGCCCTAAGAGCATCATGAAGCCTAAAAACTCGTTGACCAATCAAAAAGCGGAACAGTTTTCCTGTAGTAATAAGATACGAATGGCCATACTCTGTCTATAGAGGTACTCTACTGGATTAAACTTGGATCGAGCGATATGCAGTGACGATACAGCGGTGCAAAATCTGTGCAAGATGTTCCAGACCACCCACTAGCAGGCTTTTTTTCTCGGTATGTTAGATCTATGTTTGAGGAGTCAAAAAGGAAATGGACCATAGGATTGGACTCTCATTATTTCGAGGTCCCTCATCCTCCCTTTAGGATCCATTTTTTTCCTTAACTCCCGGGTCTTAGACAACAACCGACCAAAATGACTGAGGAAAAAGCCTGGCACGGCCGCACGGGTACCGGGTAGTCTGCTACACCTGGCACATACATTTTAATGCTGTATCTCGACCCATCGCTAGATCGGAGTGTCAATAACGATAGTCTTAATCCTCGACTAATTATAAATTGTGCCCCAGAAAATAGAAAGATGATCAATTTATTCAAATTGTCCTCTTCACCAAGAAACTTTAAAATATTGGAGTTTTAAGTAGTAAAAATGTAAACTCTGCAATGCTGTTTTGCCAAAATAAGTTTTGACCAGGCTAAAACTTTCACTGAAGGATTGCACCGTCACAGAGTTTTGCCTGAGATACCTAGATATGAATGAAATCTCCGCGTTTCCGAAAATGGCCACAAAGAGGCCTTTTTTGACAGACTCTCTCAAGAAATATTGTTTTTCTTCCAGGAAATACCTACCCAAGATACCAGAAAAAATGAAACGTCGCATTTTGAGATCGATGTGCGTGTTTTAAGAGTCTACAGGTTTACCGTTGGAGTTCAAAGAAAATAGGTTCATCGAAGTGCGTTTGATGTCAAAAACTGACGAACCAATTCCCTCTCTTTCAATAAATATTTGCAGTTAAAAACTAAGAGATGTCTTCCTTGGGCCCATAATAATCAAGGTAATGATGAATCATATGGATGAAAAAAAAACTTGTAAACCATTCCAATATTTGTTGAAACTTAATCTCCTTCCGCTAATACAACACAGCGTGGTACCTATATCGCATCGGGCTAATCGCTCCTTCATTTGAAAAGTATGCAACTTAAACTACAATGAGCTACCTTCTGCTCTCACAATCAGTCAATTTAGTTGAGGCTCCGTGAAAGAATGGTGGCGATTCATATTCCAATGGCATAATTTTTTTGGACCGACCCTTTTCAAGAATTCTTCTACTATACCTACCTGCATCGTAGGCAAATGATAAAGAAAGTAAAACGGAAGAGAAAATACGTATATTTTCTGACGCTATCTGATTTTGGCGCACTGGAGTGGTCTCTTCCACCGACAATATTCAGGCTCTCACTCTGTGACGCCACGAAGGTAAGTGTCGTACAAGTATTATACATATTATTATCATTCACGAGTTCAGTACAGTTTTTTTATTTTCATTTTCTTATATGCATTCAATTACTCACTTTTCATTTAATTTTTTCTGGCAAGAATCGCGATATGGACATGGCTCAGAGGGTAGTCCTCACGATTTGCTCAATCTCCTTAAAAACATTTCAGCTAAAGAGAGTCTGCGGGGAGATTTAGTGGCGGATTCGGCGTTTTGTGTGGGTGTGGAGCCGTCGGTTTCCTCCTGTGAGGTTTGCTTGGTGAGGGAGGCTCGACGAATAGTTCTGATCTCTTGAAGTTGCTTCATGGCTTCCTCGTAGCTCGGGAGCCCGGTCACAACCGTGTAGCTCGGCAAGGATTCCACCTCGTATACGTAGCCTTCATTTCCCTCGCCAGCTTCGGGATTTTGCGCCAGCACTGTCAACAAAAATCATGAGCCCGTCAACTCTAGATCCATTCTTCTCTGTATATTCAAAAATAATTTATTGTATCGAAATTACCGCAATATTCCAAAAAAACTTTTTGCAAAAACCGCGTTTTTTTCATTCTTCCGGAATGTTCCTTTTATGGTCTTTTGGATGTGTAATTTGAACTTCATCATCAAATGCAGCTCATTTTCAAACTTTCTATGTATACCTATGAAGATGCCTTGTTTCTCTTCTAAAAAATAAGATAGGAGTGGACATTATTTTTGAAACACCGCAATGAAGATCCGGGAGGGTAGGGCGAGGGCGGCCGAGTGAACTACTTTTTTCTAGGCTGCCTACAAAGCCATAGAACCAACCAAATGTACCTACCTTTGTTATTTTTTTTCAGTAGACATTATCGTCAGCTACAAATATCTACTCTTACAACGGAAGAAAAATCATTTCTTAAGGCTGGAGACTTTTTTTCGGTAAAAAGTCGGATCTTTCAGAGAACCCGATTTCGGGGCTTTCTGAGCCGCCCCCGGTACCCCCGGTACTGTGAGAATTTCTGTCAATCCTAATTGAATAAATGATTGCAATACTTGATAAATAAAATCTCCACACATTCACTACACAATAAAATTGACTTGGAAATCACTAAATTTGAGTTTTGCATGATTTAAAGCAATTATACTTTGAATGGGCTTATCTGCTGCAGCACTGCATGGATTTACATGTATACTACCGTGCTAAGGAAGAACGCCGTATGAACATTCGAGAGTTGCCAAATTCCCCTCGATAGGACATGTATTTTAGACGACATTCATGCCCAATTTTCTTTGAAATTTTTAGATATTTTAGATCTGAAAATTGCGTATGAAATTGTCTGAAAATTTTGTAAAAAAATTTTCACAATTTTCCCTGTAAATTCGGTTTTTAATTTATCGAAGGACATTTAGCAACGTCTGAAGGCTCATACGGTATTCTTCCTCAGCACGGCAGTATAGAAGAGGGCTCTCTTGGAAATTGGACGTATTTCTACCAAACAGACCTATGTGGAGGTGAGGAATATGGGGTGTGCTCGTTAGTTCTCTGGCCGTAAGAGTGAATGAGAATAAAAAGCGCCAGTGACGTCAACGGAGATGGAACCGCCGTCGTACCGCTCCCGCTTTGTCTTTAACTCATGAGCCCTGTCCATAACGCTCTCTTGCCATGCCCGCGGCTCATGAATCTCGCATTCAGTTGGCACATAGGTCTGTTTGATAGAATGTAAAATCCCGCTTTTCCAATTCTTCAAAAGGAGTCACGCCCACTTTCACATTGCTTCTTATGCAGCTTTCTAGAGCACACCCCATATTTCTCACCTCCTCGTAGGTGTATTTGGTAGAAATTCGTCCAATTAAGATATCCCGTTTACGCCAGAGGAGCAGCGATACAAGACCCTAATTTTTTAAAAACATTCGGAGCGCCTCCTCTGAATCCATTTATTAGTTTCAGGGTCACCTCAAGATCCTCCTCCCTTCCTCCATTGGGCGCCTAAATGAATCCGTCGCGAGAAAAGAAAATCATAAATCCGGCAGTTGCCGTAAAGATATACTTACAGCTTCTTTTCCATTCTTGAAATTTGTAGTATAGGAGGCAAGAACAGACACAGCCAATGCAACTGAGCACAAGGAGAGTCAGAATGACACCGACCCAAACGTCAGCGATGTAATGGTCATCGTAATAAGGATCTATGGAGGAGATGAGCGACTCCTCTGTGTTGTTTATGGTGTAGATAAAAGTCTCCGTTTCTTCGACGGGGGTCGAATTCTCGTCCATGTCGAGCAGTGAAATTGTCCGATTCTTGATTTGAGTCGTGCACCGGTGCCAACAGGATGGTCTGACATACAGTCGCTTCTGTTGTGTGTGAAAAGTTATCTGCTGCCTTGTCTATCATAGCTTCGCTGCAAATCACGTCGCTCCTATTTTGTCCTATTCATCCATCTCCTGTTCAAGAAACTTTCTACCTAAAAACAAATAGAACAAAACAAATTAAACAATCATTCCTCTAGATTTCGTTTGCTCTCTGCCATTAGACTGGTGAAAAGTAAGTTAGACTGATCACGTCAGCATTGACAACCCTATAGGTAGCTAGGTGTAGGTATAGATAGCCCTACAGGCGCTCGTGCTGAGCAGAATCAATTCGACTTTGAATTTAAGGTTAATTTTGCAGTCCTATAAAGAAGTGTCTCTCTAAAATCGATTTGATTTCCTCAGACCATACGCAGATTTGATTTGTCAGAGACCCGTTTATTTGTAGGCAAATTAAAGCTGGTTCAAAGGGGCTCCTCGTGGAACGCATCAAAGGAGTATCCCATTGTTATTTCTTGGATCCAATTACATATAACCGAGAATAGTGCCGCCACTGCCAGTATGACGTCTACAAGCTTCTACCTCGGCCTCGGTCTAAAGCCCTGATGCATATATTCGTATACTCAAGGGATGTCCATATTGCATATACATACAATTGAAGGCGCTCCATCCTAGGCAGCGCAGCGTCCAAATTGCGCTGATGCAAGTCGCGGCCTAGATACGGTGCTCTGATCGATTAGAGAGTTGTTAGAGTTTCGGTGATTTTGGAAATCACTTCCTCATTAGCTAAAATATTAGTAAATGGAAAACGGAAGAATGTTCGGTGTGCTAAATTTTTACGGACTATAAAATTAATTTTATAAAAAAAAAAAAAACTGTGCGACAGCCTCACGAGACCACATCATACGAAAATAAGTAACTCTAGATACCTGGCTCATCTATAACGGCACGCATCTATATTGGGAAATTAATAGTACTCATGTTGTTTCTGAAATGATAGCCAGCAAATTCAGTTACTTTGTGCTAGTATAAGCTAATTAGACTAAATCATTGGGATAGAACTTTTGGCACGTGTTTGTTACGACGCAGTAAAATTGCGAGATGAGCATTTGCATCACATCATAACTAACTCATGCATGTGCGATGAGCAGGGGCTAGCATCCTGTCCATGTGTCTGCGAGCATTTATTCGTCATCTCACCGTGCGTGCTGCGCATATTAATCATTTGGCACCGAAAGACAACATCTATGTTTGAAATCAGTTGATATTTACATCAAGAGCTATAGGTGACTGATTGCTGCTCAATAAGTGCATGACACAAATACATCAATAATAATTAAAACAAAGATTAGATGTAGTATTTCAATACGACGAAAAAGCCGGTCGTCATCGGCAAATCTCGTTAGTGAACAATGCCGTAAATTTGTCTCATCTCGTGCGGATTCGAAACTTAAGAATTAGGTAGAATTCCACCAAGAGGTGAATCGGATTTGTAATTTGAAATGGCACGACCAATCCTCTGTAATTTTGGAAATCAGGATCGCACGATCTGTGTTTCGGATTGGTATACTTAAAACGACCGCTCTAATTCAATGTGCTGAAGCGGGCAGGGCAAATACATAAAATAGTCCGGTGTTTTAGAATTCTAGAGTAATTAGCCATTATGATTCGAATTATATGTAGAGGTTATTTGAAAACATTTTTATTTTGAATTTTCTTTCGAACCGCTCTCTATTAAAGAAGCTCATCCAAAAAAAACCTCTTAGTTCGAAAACTGTCCTCGGTCCTCGGTCCCTTCATTTTCAAATGAACGAGTGTGCTTTGAACTTATTCCTTTAGACATTTAAAACATTCTATACCTAATATTGTTAATTCGATTTTTTTAGACATAATTCAGTCATTTCGATCAAAGGGAAAAAGTTCAAAGGAAACGATGAGATTGAAAAATTTATGATTTATTTCATCGCGGGCGAGGTAGGAGTAAGACGGGTGTTACAGAAAATGTTAAGCTGCGTGCGTATAATTTTTCTCGTTATTTACTAAATTTTTTTAGGGAGTAGGACCGTTTATTATACTAGGAGGCTATGCCCCCTGGCCGCTACGTGGCCCAACCCCCAGAGGACTCTTCGCGTTCTCTCAGGCCCGCGTCGACAAAAGAACGACCCAAAAAAATGGAAAGATATTTTCATAATCGACTCTCATTTATCCGATATTTCTCTGGCCGGGAGCAATTGGACCAATAAGAATTGAATGAAAAAATCGGCATTTATTTCAAACTTCACGCCAAGACTGAAACGAAACGGAACGGAGCGTTTTGTCGCTTTTGGATACCTAATGTGCAGCAAAGCAGCATACCTTCGATTCACTTACCCTACTAACAGGCCAAGATTCAAAATTTCTCGCTTACTTCAATTTTCCGGTAAATTTGAAATTCCCGTCATTGTTCATTGGCGGGAATTTCAAATTTTGCCCCCCTCTCTAAGCTTTCTAGTCTCCTCTAATATAAAAAAAACCTGGGACCTGTGTTCAAATTCTGATTACAGCGGGCTCATCTAGGGACTATCACCTATTGATAACCGCAAAAATCATGGAAATTGGCCCAGTAGAACGCTCAAACGAACTATGACAAAATATAAAAAATTGAATTGTTTAAATGGGAGAATTCGCAAATTTACCACGTAATATAAATAAACCTGGGTTTTATTTTCAAAATCAAAATAAAACGGGCTCATCTAGAGACAATTGCCTGTCGATAGCCGCAAAAATCACGAAAATCGGCCGGGTAGAACGCTCGAACTAAGCGTTATCAGATACGCAAATTTAGGAAGTCTCGGAGCTCATATATATAATGATGATGATGATGATGATGATGTAGAAGAAGCTGCATGAAGTTGTGTACTAAACTATATATTCTCACGCATTCGATAGACTGAAGTAGGAATTTGAGTATGACTTATCGTCCTGCTTGCACTTGACGTTGTCATTCACGTAAATAGACACACACCCCCCCCCGCCCTCAAGTGGCATTATTCCCAATAATAAAAATTGCATACTTTTGAGGTGTATGGCCACTGACGGTCAGCTTATATTAATAAAGTATTGCGCTGTAAATTGTGCCCCCTGTCCCCCACCCGTGCAAAGTTCAGACTTATATTTCGAATCTCTGCCGTCATTGTGGAATAGGAAGTTTCATAATTCAACTGCTCGAGTCATTTGTCCCCTAGGTAATAGATCATTTCCATACGACTCAATGTCAGTGCCAAAAACGGAGGAAAAAAAGTTCCGCTCGGAGACTTCAACAGCTGGATAAGAAAGTAAACGCGAGTGTGTTTCATCGGCGAAAGCTTTAAAATGCCTTTGTTCAACGTCATTCCTTTCTCATTTCATAACAATAGTCATTCATGATCATAGTTTGACTTTTTAGCTATCTAATAGTAAAAATTAATTGCTAGAAGAGCTAAAAATAAAATTCCGTCACTTGAAGATTGCTTCCTTGAGTAGAGTTTCGAGTTTTAACAGAAATGATTATTTTCTGATTGTGCTTATCGTACGTATTGTTCACGTATGAAGTCGTTTCTTGTCAATACCTATTTTAAAACTCTTTTCCTTGATTTTCTATGCCACAGCAAACATTTTACGACAACGTATTGATTGCCGATCACGAATGCAGACCACTTTATGCATCTCTAATGCAACAGCAGGACGGACTGCAAGACCTATACAATTCCGGTGTATCTAAATATAGCTGCTTTCAATAAATTGTAATTTCGTTTATATTCGATATGAAGAGTACCGGTTGAAACTGTTTTTATATTATGTATCAAAGACAAGTATTTTATCCATTTTTTTAAAAACAAAGATCGCACCCCTCCCCCCCTTGCCCCCCTCAAAATCACGGGGGAACTTGTTCTTGAGCGGCTGACTCGAAATTTTCAAAATGCAACCCACTCTTAAGTTAAGTGGAACATTGTTGAAGAATCGAAATAATAAGATCATTTTTGCCACAGAACATACAAAGTTGCGCTACGTCTCCTGACTGCTATACGCAACCCCCAAGAGCACCCCACGCCTTTTAAGGCCCATTTCGCGAGCCCCTCGGGGCTCAATCTAAATATAACGGGCTTTTTTCAGGGACTTTCTCCTGTCGATAGCCGCAAAACTCATGAAAATCGGCCCAGTGAAAATCGAATTTCCCTTAATGACGACTAATACTCAGTCAGACTAGTATAGCAATATCATACAAAATACTTGCGCCTCTTGGCATCAAAGTCCATCACACGCAGCTTGACTGATTGCATGCAGCATCCCAAAGGCTTAGTGCTCAAAGGAGGGGACTAGGAGAAACGGAGGAGTAGGAATAAACTAATGTATGTGATTAGCGAGAGTACTCTAGTTCAGGGTTGGTGTGTAATCGACAAGGCAAGGAAAGCCTCCTTGTTCTTCCGCGAAATCTTGCTGCGTTTACAATCGTGAAATACGTTGCGATGTGCTGAGAGTGCTGCCAGTCCGCATGCGTGCCTGTCCATTTGCTCACATAGATGGCTGAACCCGATGAAACCACGCACTTCGATTACAGCATTTCAAAACTCAGAATGATCCCGAATTTTTCAAATTTTCGAATTATAACTGAGATTTCTTATTGGCATGGAGCAGCTTCCTGAGGGCACCTTAAAAAGTCATCTCTAAATTACGTAATGCTCCGGGGGGAGGGGGGGCGTTACACCATTTTGTTATATAACGTGTTAAAAGATAGATACCTACGTCACAAAAGCGTTACCAGGGTGAGGGGGGGGTCAAAAATGCCGAAGAAGTGCGTTAGGGACAGCCCCTTAAAAGGTTGAACTTCGTGCATAGCAGCTAGGGGGCACCCCGTAGATTTCTTATCGTGCGGAAATCCTCAGTCAAGCTGCAAGATTTTCAAACGTTCATTTCAAACAACATCAACTACAATCCTTTAACCCATAGGTGCATCTCATGGTTGAATCCTCAAATAGGAAAGTTCGACAACTTGGAGAGAACCAAAGGTGCACGCTCCTGCGCATGCGCAGTTCTGCCGCGGCGAGGAATAACGCCGTGCAAATATGCCCGCGTTGCTAAATTTTCCTTGATTAAATATTTCTTTTTGAGAAAAGTTATGAAAAACCCTTAAGATTTC